AGTCTTATAAATCGTTTTTGGAAAATGAACACTCGTGACACTTCAGTTAACCTACCCCATATAACGATAATACAGTTGATTGTCATGTAGACAAGAGCGTAATACATGTTAATCAAGAAGTTTCTGTGAAAGTTGGATTTGCGGCTAGTAAAAGCATAATACAGTTTATTCAGTTTCTTACATGTTATCAATTTGGTTGTTGGAGGTTAATATGTAATCTATCTCCATACCAAGGAATTTTATGCTTTCTGATATTAAGATATCAGTGTGGCCTAAATTGAACTTCATGTTGTTCAAGTGTTTTTGTGGACTACTGAATTGGATAAGGACCATTTTATTCATATTAATAATGAGGTGATTTCTCTCACACCATTGAGTGAAATTCTTTACTACTAGTTGTATAAAATTCATCAAGTCAAGTAAATTTTTAGCAGTTAATATAATTGATGAATCATCTGCATAAATGAAGACCTGCCCTTTGTTTATGTGGGGACGTAAGTCATTTGTATAAAGACCACCTGTGATTGTTGCATGATATTTTTTAGTAATATATTCACACAATGTTTTAAAGTTTCTATTTGGGTCACAACATTATGATGATAATGCTTTTGATTTTTGGATTAAAAAAGTATCCTTATCATAATTTTTTTACTGTTTGCATTAAACACATTTTATTAAATTTTTCCTTGTATTTTTCCATTGAAATATCCTTCAAATAATGAATAAACATTAATAAGCGTCACTAACCTATCACCTAGTTGTTGTGGACTAGGAATTTTATTCCTGTAGATACTCAGGTTTTGATAGAACCCTCCATCCTGCTGATGCAGATTATGTGTTGACCTGCTTCTCAATGCTGCATTGCTGACAGCAGGTCCTCCATTCACCATTTGTTGACCGTTGTTTATGCTGTTGTTGGAAGACGTTCGACTATAGGCATCATGGTTAGGACGAGTGGCGTGTTCGTTTGCTCCAGGGATCTGATGAAGGGCGGGAACGGATTTCGATGAGGGTATAGATCGTTCTGTATCTACTTTAGACGGCAAGTCGCGTTCCGACATCCGCCTTGGACCTGGATTTGAAAATAGAAATATCAAACTTGAGAAAAACTTTGATTATCAGAAAAGTATCTACACTGATGAAAAGAGCAACGTAGCAAAACGAAAATATATTTTTGGTTGATGTTAAAAGCAACAAGTTTCAGTAAGTTTCATTATTAACTATTTCATAAACATCATGTACCTCTTTTGTAATCAATCATGAAGCTTATTGCTTATAATTCAGCTACAAAATGAAATTAAGGGCAACAGATAAAGCAACAAATAATCATGATAAAGCATTTCTACAAAAAAATAGAGTGCGCAACAGATAATCGTAATCTTACGATTAGCAGCAGCGCCAAGTTCATAATCCTTTAAAGCACCTAACCTAGCAGCGTTGTCTGGCTCATCAGTTAGTCCAATACAAGCACAACTCTTGGTTTTCCTTGATGATTTAGGTGAATCTGCACAATTCTTCAGAACCGGACAACTTTTTTTAGCATATCTACAGCATTTTCTGACACTCTTTTTCGTTTTGATATCAGAACAACTCTTCCATGTTTTTGGCAAATACTTTTTTCGAATTACAACGACTTTAGGAGAGCCAACATTTTCGTGATTAGACTTTTGTATGAACTTTCTCACGCTGTTACGCCTGGTAACAATGTAAGAGTCAGGAAACTTTTTATGATGTCTCTTCTGCAAGTCATTCAACCTTTCTAAGCTATCACAACGTACTAACTGACTATCAAATGGTTTCATGTCTATGATTTCACTATGCCTTCTACTATATTTTGGCTTTTTTTGCAAGTTAGTGATGTTATTGAGACATTCTAATTCTTCAGTGGCATCTTTGGAAGGTTTGAGAATACTTTTTGGTTTAGTTTTGGTCACATCATCGGCTTTGGAGTCTTTTTCTTTGGTCCCAACATTAAAAATGCAGTTTCTGTATTCACAGTTGTGAGAAAATTGGTCCAAGTTTGAACTGGTGTTTAAAGAATTATCAGATAAAAATTTTGTTATAACTATCAAACCATTCACCTTTGATTTTGGCGACAAATCTGGTTCGGAGTTGAATTTAATTCTATCCTTCTTGAGATCGGATTTTCCATGTTCACCTTCACCTGAGAGTTTTATATTACATTCACTTTTTGACTCTGATCCAACAAGGCTCCAGTCATAAAGCAGTTTCAACACCTCCAATCTTTCATACTCAGTCAGTTTATCGTTCAAGTTCTCCTCACTCACACTTTTACTTCTGTTTGTTACATATCTTCGTCTGGTTAAAGACGGTACGCTTGTAGCCTTATCTTCGAATTTTTTGGCTAGATCTTTGACGTTTCTATAACGTATTTCATACGGAGATTTCCAGTTTTTCTGCCGCAAAGGAGTATGTGGATCTATCTGACTCAGGTCCAAATTGGATTCATGTATGCCGCTATTGATACTCGAAGTAGAACTGGATAAGTCCTGCAGAGATGAAGACATCATCAGACCATGTTGTCTGCATCTTCTAGCACCAATACTCAAAAACTTGTCAGTATCACTAATACTGTCTATGGAATATAAACTCTTGTTCACTTCAATAGAAAAACTTTTCTGTTGGGCGAAATTATCTTTTTTAGTTTTGGTACTTGGTTTAACACAGAACTCTTCCAGTTTTTCAGGCTGCAGTCCTTTTCCCGTTTCATCATAAGTTAAAGTTACATTCTTTGGAGCAGGGTCAGAAAAATCTGTCACATGTAAGTTGAATACTGGCTCGTCTGATTCAATTTCAATGCGAGGAATGGTGAACTTGCGTCTCTCAGATTTGAACAAACTATCGTCCGAGTTGAAGAATACATTATTTTTTGGTTTAGTTACTGGTGGTGTAAATATTCGATGGCTCTGTGGGCTGCACAGAGACTCGTAGGAGTCCTGTACATTATCGTAGTTGTAATAGTAGTAGCTGTCCATTGCTGCTTGCACAAAAGAAAATTCTTTTGTGAAGTATTATGCAAATGAATAGAATAGTTGATAAGAATTTATTCATTCTTCAAATATTTGAACGAGATAAAACATGGAATTGGCTGATACTTGATGAAAACACATGACGTATTCTATCTAGTAACAGTTTATTGTGAGATTTTCACCGAACAGTTTATGCTATACAATAGTTTCCTCATGCTTGTATGAACAAGCTTTAGTAAGTTATTGAATAGTGAAACGCGTGTTTCGCTTATGGTAACTGTTTATAGTGAAAACTTCACACGTCTGAGGAAGCTATTGTATAGCGAAACACATGTTCTCTCAAAATAACGTGTTAAATGAAAACAAGATTGAACAATTGAAATAGTAATATACTATTTACTTTATTATTGCTGAGAACTTCTATGGTAGATGTTCGTTAACATTCTAAAATTATGAGGTTTTTGTGAGGTTCATATATGGAAACAGAATGTTTCACTGAGAGTAATACTGCAGGAATCTGTATAAGAACAGAGACATAAAAAATATGTGTTAATATGTACTACATGGGCTGCAAAGTCTCGGACCTAACACATAGATGGCGCTTGTCTTAATGCATTCACTGCTATTTCAGTTAGTACTAACCTCCAAAAGAAAGCTGTTGAAATTTCATGATATCCTACTCATGAATTTGTGAGTCAATGTACTAAAAGTGACCCTACTTTTGTTATTTCCAAAACGATGATTCGAAAACAATTTCGTGTTTTAATTTTACACTTTTTCTTGATGAAGAAATACCGTTGGAGCGAAACAATGGCTTGAAAAGTATTATATGGCCTTTGCTCTATCAAAAACAACAATTAAACGTTGCTTTGCTGACTTCAAATGAGGTCGTCAAAATGAGGCAGAAACACCAGAAAACATAAAAAAATCCACAAAATCGTTTTGAATGATCTAAAAGTGAAGTTCCGTGAGTTGGCTGACATTGTAAAGATGTCAAAAGAACGTGTTGGCTTTATACTGTATGAGCATTTGACTATGAGAATGTTCTGTTCAGAGTGGGGGCTGCGCGAGGTCACTGTTGACCAGAAACAAAAACGTCTTGATGATTCTGAGCAGTGTATGGCCATGTTTAAACCTAATAAACCGGAATTTTTGAGTCGATATGTGACAATGGATGAATCATGGATCCATAACGTCACTCCGGAATCAAAATGATCATGATCTGAGTAGAGAGCAACTGGTGAACCTTGTCCAAAGCGCCTGAAAGCTGCTGGAAAGGTTATCGTTTCGGTATTTTGGGATGTGCATGGTGTAATATTCTTTGACTATCTTCAGAAGAGAAATATCACCAACAGTGAATATTATATAGCGTTATTGGAGCATTTGAAGAGCGAAATTGAGGAGAAACGATCCCATTTGAAGAAAAAGGAAGTGCTGCTTCATCAAGACAATGAATAGTGTCACAAATCAATGAAAATGATAGCAAAATTGCATGAAATGGGCTTTGCATATTCGCATATTCAGCAGATTTGGCTCCTAGTGACTACTGACTGTTCGCAGACCCCAAGAAAATGCTCAGCGGTAAGAAATTTCGCTCGAATGAAGGGGGTATTGCTGAAACTGACGCCTATTTTGAGGAAAAAGATAAATGGTTCTGCAAAAGTGGTATTGAAGTGTTAGAGCGGCGCTAAAATGACTGTGTGACTCTTGATGGAGATTACTTTGATGAATAAAGCCAATTTTCAACAAAAATAAACGCGTTTTCATTCTAAGGTCCGGGACTTTTCAGCCCAGGTGTTATTGTTCTCAATGAAGGGTTGGTACATATATCTAGCGACTTAGTTTGAGGAGGAATTTATATGTGGATAGGTAGTTGGCAACTGTGCTGTCATTACCTAGCTGGTTATCTTCTAGGCAAAGATTGGCAGACATGTTCTATTGTGATTTGATTAATTTTGGTTCCTATCATATGGGTGTGCTTGCCTATGTATTATGGAATAGTTTCATTTCCACATTTTTTGAAACCGGAGGATTATTTCAGCTTCGGAGAAGCTTGATTAAAACACCTTATCCTAGCACCATGATATTAGAACCAGAATCTATCAAATCACACAAAAAACGGGTTTACCAATCGCAGCCAGCAATCAACCAACCAACCAATCATAGCATAGTAGCCAACAAAATGGTCATAAAAGTGTCTTGCGCAGCTTGTCAAGACTACTGCATAACTGTTGAAGATTCCTACTGTAACTGTGGGAAAAACGTCTTATTATATCGCTTCTGCCAGAAGTGTTTGGACCAGTGCCTCTACTGCAAATACCGTTTCTTTGGAACATACTTCCAGCTCGTGATAGACCTCACTCTATGCTCACATAAAGTGTTGGCTCATCATTAAAGTTGAAGAGTAGGTCAAAAAATGAATCTACTTTTTGATAATAATACACTTCAATATTTGGAATAAACAAGAGAGGGATAAAAATAAATAGTAATTGAATTATTTGAAATTAATCACTATAGCATATATTGTTACAAAAGTGTTCAATATGGAAATCACTATTTCAAGTAGAGAAAGAAATTTCATTCAGATTTAAATTTTGATTAATTTTCATTTTTTCTGAAGGATTATTACATATTTTGGGTCGGGAATAGTTGTTTGGTTTGGGTTGTATGATCATGAATGGTATATATTTTAGTGAACTCCAAAGTTGAAAATATGTTCGTTTATTTTTCAAATGAATAAATCATACTTTCAACTGAAAAATTAGTTGAATATCTGAAAAATCACAGGGTTCATGAAATTTTGACATGGATTCAAGATTAGGCAGTTTGAATATACATTTCATCATTTCATTTTGCAGTCTCCTAATTGAAATTGAATATTACAGATTCAAATATTTCAAACAGAAATTAATACACTTGATATATTTTATAGAAATGAAATTCCAAATCATAAACATTATTCCCAAAAGTGGTCTTTCTTTTTCAACATCTCAAATGAGTTTCCAACAGAAACTTTCACCACTTGTATATTTGATAAATAACAAACAAATTACAATAAAAGAATTAGGCAGAAACTAGCATAATTTTGTTTTATTTTACTCAAGCAAATTACAAAGAAAATATGATTATGAGGCATTACCTATATTTCTAACAGAAATACAAAATTAGCAATACTTTTGAAATCCCAGAATACTTATCATATGTCTGTATGTGAATGTGCAGACGTCTGCATACTCTTTCTATACAAAAATAAACCATATACTAATTTTAGTTTCAAAATCGTTCATAGTTATTGTTTGCACACCTACCTCTATGTGGTGTCGGACTTGGTTGCTGAAGCAAAGTCGCTAGACCATGATACACAGCACCTGCTTTGGCTACCTCCAGGGTGACGACACTACTTGTCCTTTGTAAAAACTCTGCAGCCTTTTCTTGTGTTATTCCTAACAGTGACTGACCGTCAACTGACAATAGTTGGTCTCCCGCAGCCAATCTTCCATCTCGATCAGCTGCCCCACCTGGCACAACAGATTTTATATAGATTCCCAATCGTTCTTGGCCAGCACCTTTCGCAGCTACGATTGAGAGACCCATACCGCCTCCAGACTTATGGAGCCTTATTACTTGTACCTGTAAGAGTAAACATGTAGAAGTTGAGGAGCTTGAAAGATAAAATTGTTTGAAACTGTCGTTACCAATTAAATGAATACTAGGACAGAATGTAGACCAGATGAACTAGAAGAATGAACAATTGACTGAAATACAAATTATCATTTTCAACTATGATTGCATATCAATACTGTGAATACTATGATGATGTTCTCAAATAGCGAAAATATTCTGAATCAATTGCTCAATTTTCTAGAATTTCTTAAATTATTTCTGAACTATTGCCTTTTTGGAAAAATGCATGATTACCTTTTAATGGTACTTATTGACGTCTGCAAAATTTGTTTAAATAAATTTTGGATATTTGAACATTTCAAACAAATAAAAAAAATCCAATTAGTAAGTAGCAATTCCTGACTATAACAATTATAACAAAATTGTAAATCAAATATCTTGTTTATCATCTTGTAGGAAACAATGACGTCAACGATATTATCAGTTTTTAGTTCCAATTAGTCTGCTGTTGACTAAATTTCTGACTGTTAATAATTTTGAGGCAAATAATTGCAAAATTATTTATTCAACAAGGAAGACTTGTAGAACTATTCAACATGACTTTTTGAGATAACCATAGAATAGAGTAACTTATTGAACCTTTTTCAAACAATAAAAATTTTAAAAACATATATGACATATGACAAGAAACAAATTTATCCACATTGAAATGAGCATGAACAAAACATATTTTTGGCAAATTCTGTGAACATGAAAAAATAATAGAACCATTATTATAAATAGTCCATCTGCATCAATATCAATATCAACCAGTAAGTCCACTCCCACTACTTTCATTCATAAATTCGCAAAGTTTTTGGTGACCTCGAAACGAAGTGTGAAGCCAATTTCGTTCTTTTACCATAGGCGTGCGCTCATATAAAAACGAAATTTAAGGTTATTATATTTATATTTTGTGGTAAATTACTTATAAGGAACCAAGAACAAAAACTGAAAACAATAATAACAACAGTGAGTAAATTAAACACAATATCAATTTCCAACCGTTTATTATAACTAATCCGATGTCCGTGGAACCATCAAATCCTTCGATATTACAGCACTGAAAGCGTTGGATGAGAATCTCATTCTAAGAGCGGTTGAAGGTCCCAGGCAACTCGGGCAGATCACGTGGTAAGAGAGCCTACTGGTTGTATTATTCTACTGTGATGCTAGTCTATGTTTAGGAAGATACAATAATTTCAGGGATATTGTAGAATAATCATGGTTATGGTAGTGGTCCGGAAAATACTCAGTATTTTCATGAATTTCTAACAATACAGCATAAACATACATAGCAGGTAGTGACACAATGCCAAGTTGAATAAATAAAGGACGACAATTCCTATATCCCACATTTGCCAAAATTTTAATAGCCTTTTTCAGAAATTTGAAAATACTTACTGAGTTTGTAGACTTGCCCCAAATCAAAACTCTATAGGAGATTATGAAGTGAAAACGTGAATGCAAGTTTTATTCTATAGTATTCCTCAGTTGGCTGAAGACAAGAAGAGCACTAGATAGTTTATGAGTATTAGTATTACTCTCAATGTGACTTGACCAACTAGACGATCATCAGAAACAAAGCTCAAAAACTCAACATTTTTTATTCAAGTGGAACATCAGCATTTGAGAATATAATAATGATTATTTGAGTTTGGGAAAAATCAAATCACCCCTAAAAAAAAATATATAACCCCTTCAATTCAGATTATTTGAGTGTTTTTATTTTTGAGCTTTAGTACAAGTAAACCAGATATTTGCTAGATCCTGAATTTGCTGGGGTAAAATAATAAAAGATTTTTTTTAATGGAAAAAACACAAGCAATACAGGGAAATATTTAAGGCGTTCTAAGGCTGGGGCTGTGCGAAAGTAGTGATTCACATTGGATTTGAATAGCTGAATTTATTCCACATAAACGCAGATTATCTACAGAGGAAGTTTCAATTCTCATTTGTACAATATATACACTCGTGTGCCGGTTCCGCGACATCGTCCGCCATCATGAATTTAAATTTTATGAACATTTTGAATAAGTTCTTTCAACCTTCCGAACAAAAAATAGTTTTTTTCCAATTTTTGACCAATACTTTCTGAACTATAGTAATTACTGAAAAACTGTCTTGAAGGTCCAAAATATTTCGACCAACATCGAGTCTTATCAGTGGTGCTAGGCTGAACCATTATTGCATTATTGGGCATAACTGCCTTAAAGGAGACGACTGAGTAAGTAGAATGGGGTAATAATTTATAGAGTTAAAATTTTGGTCAGTTTTTGAAATTAATCCAATTCTTTAGCAATTACAGAAAGACTATAACAAAGTGTTTTTTCACCTTTTCAGAAGCAACAAATCAATTATTATATTTATAGTTTTTAGTAGACATTTGTCTGTCTTTATTGAAGATTTTTTTCCAAGTGTTTGAATACAATGTTTTTTTATAAATACGAAAAAATGTTTCTCAAAATTTCTAGTTGAACTATCAGAGGGGAATAAAATGCCTCATCAATAACGTTGATATTTCCAGTAATCGAAAAAAAGTTGAGACATCTAAATGGGTTATATAAAAATTTTGGCAGCTTTCCATTGGATCTTCTAGATCATGTAGTGTCCAATCATTGATTAAAATTTCAACTCAAGTGTCTCATCCAATTCGGCAAATATTCTGCCGATAGGTTTTCAACACGACAGACGAACGGACATTCAGACAGACAGAATTCTCCAAAACATTTTATGTTTTGATTCTGAACAATTTTTTCATCTAATCAGTGATTGTGATCTATCTCTTGAAATAACAAAGTTAGGTCTCGCTGTGAGTATCACAGTATATTATTCTCTAAACATCTTAGTATAATAACACAACACAACAAAGTTTTTGTTTCGGGGTTGAAATTAGATGATTTTAATGTATTTCCACGAGTTAAAACCGAAAGTGACCATAAAAATTATATATTAGCTCTTGTTTTCAAGATATAGTATCATTATATTATATATATGTATATTGAGTTTTCAACAAATGAAATATTTCATCACCAACAGTTGGTACACATGTTTGTTTACATAACACCCCTCTCATCAGCTGTTCTTAAGTAGTAAACATAACCTATGTGAGTTTGTCAATTGTACGCACGTGGTTGCTATTGAAATTATCGTGTGAAGTTGATTTTTAAATTAATTTAAGTGCTGATCTGAAATGCCTCGAAAGTGTGTGAATTCTGTCGATAGCTTTTGCTATATATGTGGTGAAATAACATTTAAGGCTCAGAAACGTAAAATGACACCTATCGTTAAGACAGCCTATGAACATTATTTTGGTGTGAAAGTTGGGGACCAAGATAAATCATGGGCTCCTCATATATGTTGTAATTTTTGTTCCGTCATATTGCGAGAGTGGCTGAAAAATAAAAACCGGGCAATGGCTTTTGCAGTACCTATGGTTTGGCGTGAGCCTACCAATCGTACAGACGACTGTTATTTCTGCTTAACTCCTCCCATTAAGCAAGGTTTATCTATGAAGAAAAGAATCTCCCATCTGCTCTTCGGCCTGTACCACACTCAGACAATTTGCCAGTCCCTTCTCCACCCCAAAACTATGAAATTTTAGAGGAAGGTGATGAAGACTGTTTAGAAGGAGCAACCCATCCTTCTACATCCTATGACCCTGATTTTGAGGTAAGCGATAGGTCTAGTGATCCGCACAGAATTAGTCAAGCATAGTTGAGTGACCTTATAAGAGATCTTCGCTTGTCTAAGGAAAAGGCTGAGCTGTTAGGGTCAAGACTACAACAGTGGAATCTTCTAAAACATGATGTGAAAATATCTCAGTACAGACAGCGTCAAAAAGATTTGCTTCCTTTTTTTTGAGAAAAAAGAAAACCTCGTAGTTTGTTCTGATGTTAATGGTTTGATGGACTGCTTGAATTTGGATCACACTCCATCCGAATGGAGACTGTTTATAGACTCTTCAAAACTAAGCTTAAAAGTTGTACTTCTGCATAATGGAAATCAGCTACCCTCTATTCCTATAGGTCATGCAGTTCACATGAAGGAAACGTTCTCCTTCTCCAATCAATCAATTATGAACAACACAAGTGGCACATCTGTGGTGATCTGAAAGTCATTGCTATACTCCTAGGAATGCAAATAGGGTTCACCAAGTACTGTTGTTTTTTGTGTCTGTGGGACAGTCAGGATAGAAAATCTCACTATAAAAAAATGAACTGGCCTACACGAGACCTAAACCCTAATGAGAAAAATGTAGTTTACGAGCCTCTTGTAGATCCTAAGGATGTTCTCCTTCCCCCATTATATATTAAGTTGGGACTAATGAAAAACTTTGTGAAGGCCATGGACCAGGAAGGACAAGCTTTTAAGTACTTGAGAGCAAAGTTTCCCAGGTTGAGTGATGCTAAAGTCAAGGAAGGCATCTTTATTGGGCCTCAAATCCGTGAAATCGTAAATGATCCTGCTTTTGACATGATTTCAACAGGAAATGAAAAAAGAGCCTGGGAAGCCTTTAAGGGGGTTGTACATGGGTTTTAGGTAACAAAAGAGATGATAACTTCACACCATTTGTTAAAGAGCTTCTTCAAGCTTACCACCAACTTGGATGCAACATGTCCTTAAAAATTCATTTTCTTCACTCTCATCTTAATTTCTTCCCACAAAACTGTGGAGCTGTGAGTGACGAACATGGAGAAAGATTCCATCAAGACATTGCCTTAATGGAACAGAGATATCAGGGCCGTTGGAATGAAGCAATGCTTGCAGACTACTGCTGGTCTGTGTGTAGGGATGCTCCAGAAGTGTTTTATAAAAGATAAGCTAAACGACAGCGATCTTACAATGAATCGGATGGACTTAATTGAAATTTGGTGGTACAAACTTCTTTTATTTGTCAAAACACTAAGAATAATGTTTTTTTTTTATTCATTTTGTACTTAAAATATTCTAAAAGAAACATAACAATATTGTTTTATGTACTTTCACTTTTCACGTAGTCTAACTACTCTTTAAGATTAAGTACTGTGTATTTCAAAAACCAGAGCTAATAAAAATTTTTTCATTGTTATTTTCGTTTTTATCATCCCAAAATTAGTAGAAATTGACTAATTTAGTGTAGGAAACATTCAAAAAATATTTTTTTGTTGTGTTGTGTAATTATAGTTAGTGCATATCAGGAGAAAAGGAAGTTTTCCTTAACTTCAGGTATATACACTTTTCCAGCTCTGGATAAGTGATGTTTATAACCTTGACTGTCTTACTAATTATGCAAATAGCTACCTCTGGCTGTGTCGTACTCAATGCAGAAGGTGGCCTTGGTGCTGACATATATACTGTCCAATGTCCAGAACTTGTTGGCTGTGCTGCTAGCCTGCACAACCCTGATGCTTGCAACGGATGAAGGAAATCTGCCAACCCAGGAGGGACTCCCTGTACGACATCACAACTGAAACCATCATCAGGCAGTAAGAGTTGTAATGGAGGTGCAGGATCTTCATAAAGAGTAACTTCCCGACCTTCAGCACGGGCTAGTTCGTCTGCAACGCTCTCAGCAGCTTTGGCCGCTTGTTCAAGAAGAGAAGGAGAAGCCAATTTTTCACCCGGTTCAGCTGATAACAAAATAAATTCGATTAAAACAATTGCGAATTGAAATGAGATTTTGGGAGTGGAATAAATTTTGTTTACCTTTATATTGCATTAACAAGGCTCCCAACTGCATCGAATTTAACTTGAAACAAGCAGCTGACAAGTTGGCGAGTTCTTCAGGAGCATACTTTGGAGCTTGTAAAAGGTGAGCACACTGTACGATTTTAGCCAAGTGACACTCTGCTGCCAGTTCTAAACCTTGAGATTCTGCCCAAGCTTGCAGATTCCTTAATCGATTGAAGAGTTTGTTACCGAAATTTCGCGTGCAGAGATTGCTGTTACTGATGACATTCGACAAAGCCTGTGGAAAAAAATTAATGCCTCAGAGCTACTTTCAAAAAAGTCATAGTTTTTTACCTTTGCTGATACCCAATGGAACAACTGGGAAAATAGTTGTATGGTCAAGGCAGCATTTACTCTACACTTCCTCAGTAAGTTCATGGCCCCACTTAGTATATTAATCACCTCTCTAGGGTGATCGTCACTGGTCACTGACATTAAATAACTCATGGCAGAGTTGAGCTCGTCGGTAAGGCAAGCCACAAGGTTCTTAAACGCTAATTGAACAGCATCCGCTAAGGTATCCTGTGCTTGAAGAGAGAAAGCGCTGACATGCCTGTCAGATTTTAGAAAATGAAGCAATTCGCTTGCATTTGCCAACCAGAATGCTTGGGAGGTACTTTCTGTGCTTCGGTCTTGGACAGTGTGCCTTAAAGAAACACCAAAAATTTTGAAAAACATTCCAATTTTCTGTGTAGTATTGATATATTTTGTTAAAAAAACAATATGTTTCGAAAATAATTTACTCATTAACTATTTCAACGCTAAAAATTTCTAACACAGGGATTGAATCAACAAACCAGGATTTTAGGTATCAAACAGGCTCATCTCGCAGGTTCGCTAAATTTTTTTCTAAATATACAGGGCTTTTCATGATGAACGTTAATTAGCCGTTTCTGGCAAACTATTCAACGGATCAACCTGAAAATTCCACAGTATGCATAAGTCAATATGACCTACACGCCTAAACTATTTTAGACGAAGCGGCGTTGTCGCTTCTACTATAAAGTAGCGGCTTCTTTGATTTTTCAAATGGAACACCCCGTATATAATATCATATTATGATTCATTATCACTTTGTCAACAAATTCATATACTATTTC